CCATAATTGGGTTCACCTCTGAAAAAGAAAATTACATGAAAGAGCAACGGAATTGCTGCTATCAGATTAACACCTGGTTTAAAGTAGACCCCCCCCCAGAGAAACTACAAGTAGTGTGCATTTACTTTTTTTTAAGTACTTTGAAGAACACATACTTTTAAAATATTGCTAAAATTATATGCATGCCAGATTTCATACTGTGTCTCAGTCAGTAGAACTCAACAACTGTAGTTGGGATGTAATACCCCCTGTTCCTATGATTAATTTTAAAACATCTTGGATATCAGGATCAAGATTTCCTGACAAGAAATGTAAGTTAGCCAGGTGGTGGTGATGCATGCCTTTAATCCCAGCACTCAGGGAGGCAGAGGCAGGTGAAATTCTGTGAGTAGAGACCAACCTGGTCTACAAGGGCTAGTTCCAGGACAGCCTCCAAAACCACAAAAACCCTGTAAAAGTGCCAACAGTTGGTCGCTCAGTGGTGGTGCATGACTTTAGTCCCAGAGGCAGGCGGATATCTGAGGCCAGCTAGGGCTACACAAAGAAACCTTTTTTAAAAAAAGTATCAGAGTCAACCAGTGATTGCAGGTCAGGGAGCAGAGGCCTGTGCCTGCTGAAGTAGATGAGTATGCTGATGACTACTGCCCAGGGATCTGCAAGGACAGCATGCCTCACCATCACAGGAACTAATGTTAATGCCTTTCCCGTTCACATTGAGTTAGGCCAAGAGCCTGCAAGTACTTCCACTTAAAAGTAATCACACTCCGCCAGGCTTAGCACATACCCCAATCCCAGCACACAGGAGGCAGTAACAAACATCTGTGGGTTCCAGGATAGCCTCTACGCACCAGTACAAACCCAAGACTACATATTGAGACCCTGCCTCAAGAATAAAAGTAGCTAGGTATAGTGGCACAGGCTTTTAGTCCCAGAACAAAGAAGGCAAAGGCAGATCTCTCGAGTTTGAGACCATCCTGGTCTACATAGTGAGGTGACTGTCACAAAAAATAAAAAAATAAAAAAAAAGGTATCCTGGATCTTAATTGTGGCAGTTTACAGTGTCTTAGAATGCCAAGTTATAAGCATCAGTCCCAGCACCCAAGAAAAAAATGGTTCTAATATAGCAGGTGTGCCATGTGTTCTGCCAAAAAATTTTAGAAAACTTTCCATGCCATCCACTTGTAGAGGAGGCAGAGTACAGGTGAGCATGCAGCTTGTCTGAACTTAACTGTCCCCTTGGATTGGAGTAGGTGCTGTCTCATCTCACGAACCTGCAGGGTCTTTCCAAGGAATCCAGGCTGCCTCCTTCTCTGGTCTCCTGCATTGCTGTAGCGTAGAATAACAGGTGCTTTTGATATAGTTATTAGTGTTGGCGGAAAGGATTCACTTCTGAGGGCTTTTTGTTCCCATACAAGATTCTTACTGTTACTGCCCAGGATGGCCTCTGACTTGAGACTCCTCTGCTTCAGTCTCCAGGAACATGTCACCATGCCTAGCCTACAGAAGGTAAGAATCTTACAGTTTTTAAGTTTAAATTGATTGTGTTTATTATATTCAAACTTGGAATGCCTAGCATTTCTTTCTGTAGAATGTCCCCTTTTAAAAAGCAGTTTCTGTCAAATGTTTTACTGCTATGCTTCTGGGCTGAGGACCTAGACAAGGAAAAGCATATGAGTTTGTTTTGAAGGGTAAGACCAGGAGGTCTTAGTGTGCGACACTGGCCGGGAACTCATCATTGTGGAGCAGGCTGGTGTCAAACTACAACAGTCTTAAGTGCCTCTGCCTCCCAAGTGTACCACCGTGTTTGGCATTCATGTGGGATTTTTTTTTTCTTCTTTTGAGACCAGGTCTCACTGCCTAGCCCTCGATAGCCTGGAATTCTAATTTAGTCCAAGTTAACCTCAAACTCAGAGATCCTCCTGCCTCTACCTCCATAGTGCTGGGATTAAAGGTGTGTTCCACCACAACTACCCTATACTAACATGCATTTTTGTCTGAAGGAATGCAATCCACATGCATGGGAGGAGCAGCAGTTTAAGATCATCCACTAATATACAATATTAACTAATATATATGAGTTAAGCCAACCTGGGGTTACATGAGACCCTAGGGGGTGTAGGGTACCTAAGCATGATGGCACACACCTTTGATCCCAGCACACAGGAGGCAGAGACTGGTGGATCTTTGAGTCCCAGCCATCCAGGATGACATGGTGAGACCCTGTCTCAATTTGTTTAATTAGAAGAAGAGGCTAAAGAGGCTGGCACCCACCTTTATTTAATCTCAGAGCTGGGAGGCAAAGAAGAGGCCAGCCTGGTCTACAGAGTGAGTACCTGACAGCCAGGGCTACACAGCTCCAAAGCTATCGGTTGCTGTAAAACAGATGCCAAGTGGAAACTACCCCACTGATCCTGGGGCAGTCTTCCCAGCTGTTGGAAATGGAGGAATGGGGGTGCCTGCCTGTTCTGTGCTGTTACTCTTAGGTCTTGTCCCAGTTGCCATACCTGGAAAGTCTTATGCAGAGATTAAGTGTGGCAGCTGGCGTCTAACCAGATGTGACACACTGCACTTAGCCTGCAGTGGGAGCCCAGCTCACAGTGAGACCCAGTGGAGGAATGGTGGGTACCTGCTATGTGCCTGACACCATTATTCTGTGCTGGTGCTGTTAGGCCCTGCCCGGCTGCCATGTCTTTAAAATCTAAAGAGCCGGTTTTTGTGTGGACTTGCTAATGGGACGACTAGCTGCTAGTTCTCGGGCCTTACAGATAAATACCCAAGGATACTGCATACCACCAGCCTTTCCCTGTGTGCAGCATGCTCGGGTGCTGGCTAGAGAAGTGAAAGGGCCAAAGTGGCGTGCGGGGAGCTAGCTGTCTGCCAGGCGACCGCGAGGTGTGGGTGGTGCAGGTGGCAGCACTTCTAGGGGCTCAGCAGCACTTTCAGGGACTTGCTTCCTGCAGGCAGTTCTAAGGCAGCTTCATCTGCATAGCAAGGTCTAGGACAGCCTGGACTACCTAAAGAGACCCTGTCTGAAAAAACATTAACACAACCTGGCATTCTGACCCAGTCTGCCTGCTCCTGCCTGTAATTTCATTACTTGTTCTGCCTCAAGTCCAACATGCATTTCCTGAGTTAACTCATAGGTAAACTCAGAGGACCAGCAGAAAGTTGGTTTTTTGTTTTGTTTTTTGTGTTTTTTTGTTGTTGTTTTTTGTTTTTTTTTTGTTTGTTTGTTTTTAGACTAAGCAACAAGGAAATGGTCAGAAGGGTGATGATGTCTCCTGAAGAGTCAATGTAACCTGGAACTCTCTCTCCAAAGTGGTCCTGCACAATGATTTTATGTAAATTTTCAAGTAAAAAACTAACATTTAAAAATGGAAACTAGCCAGGCAGTCATGGTGCACATCTGTAATCCTGGCACTTGGGAGGTAGAGGCAAGCAGATCTCTGAGTTTCAAGACTAGCCTGGTCTACAAAGTGAGTTCCAGAATAGGCTCCAAAGCTACAGAGAAACCCTGTCTACATAGATAGATAGATAGATAGATAGATAGATAGATAGATAGATAGATAGATAGATAGATAGATAGATAGATAGATAGATAGATATAGGTAAATAAAAATTAAAATGGAAGCTAGTACCTAAATTTACCCATAGTAGACAGGACCATACAGTATCAAAATAATAGGATTAGAACTCCTAAGAATGTTGTGAAGTTGGTATGCAGGAGCATTACTCAGAAGAAAGCTTTTTGACTTTTCAATTTCGTAACTGTTTTGAGACAATGATAAAGTGAAATGAGACTTTGGTGGCAGTCCCGAGCTGATGAGTGACGGAAGGCAGCATGTTCAGTCTGCAGTGTCCAAACAGTAGTTTGAAGATACTTTAGAAAGATTTTGATTTTCATAAAGTTTGTGGTCTGACGTTGGGTCTTGCACATTTCAGGTGCAAGGTACTTAGGCACAAAACTGTCCCATCACTCAGACTTCATGCCATGACCTGAGCATCGGACTCCAGGCTCTTGTAGCTGGAGGGCACTATACAGACAATGGCCCTACACCATATGCTACCCTGGGAGGAGCACAGCCAAGACTGAGAGGTAGTAGCATTGTCACAGAGCAAAGAGGTTCTGTGACTTGTCTGGGCCAGATTCCACCATCACAGTGATACTTGTTTTCAGATTACTAGGTGAAGTGGGTGTTGTAAAAGCATGCCTGTACTTGGGAGGCTGAGGCAAGAGGATCACCACGATTTTGATGCCAGCATGATACACAATGAGATCATACCTCAAAAAGGGTCACAGTGGGGGAGGGATAGGAAGGCTGGACACTGGCACAAATCTTTAGTCCCAGTATTCTGGGATGTAGAAGCAGGCAGATCTCTGTGAATTTGAGGTCAGCCTCATCTATGTTGTAAGTTCCAGAACAGCCAGGGCTACAGAGACCCTGTCTCAAAACAAACCCATTTAGTCTCTTTATCTCAGGCCAGCCTCAAACTCACTAAGTAAGCCAAAGATGACTGTGAACCTCCTGTCTCTACTCTGGTTTATGTGGTGCTGGGGATCAAACCCAGGGCTTTGCAATGCCAGCTGACCTACATACCCCAGACCAGTTGTATCTTGCTGTTTCCCAAACTGGATTTTTCCATCTGCATATCCTAAGTACTGGCATTGTAGGCAGGTGCCACCAGAACTGCCCAGTTTTAGAGATGCAGTTTTTGTTTGAGATAGGGTCTCTACATATTCCTGGCTGCTCTGGAAGTCACTGTGTAGACCAGGCTGGTCTCAAACTCACAGAAATCTGTCTGCCTCTAGAGTGCTGGGATTGAAGGTGCATACAACCATGCCCAGCAAAGACTCAGTTTTTTCTTCTTTTCTCTCCCCGTCCTGTCCCTTTTCCTCCTCATCTCTGTGTAGCTCTGGCAGTCCTGGAACTCACTCTGTAGATCAGGCTGACTTCAAACTCTGAGATCTGCCTGCCTCTGCCACCCCACACCCCAAATGCTGGGATTAAAAGCTTGCACCACTACCTGGCGTGTTTCTTTCTCAGTTAAGTTCTAAACAAGTGTAGACTTTGGAGTCCTTAAAGGAGTTATGGGGTAAGGTCTTCCCCTATTTCTGACTCTTGTGATTATTTCTTGAATGTGCTCTCGGCTCTTTTAGACAACCCGGTGTTTTTAAAGGTAGCTCCACCTGTGACTTCACAGAACTTCTCCATCTGTCCACAGCTGACTGGAGGGCATGTACCCCAGAACCTCCATTTCCAGAAATGTTCTAATGCTGTTGGCCCACAATCACTGTGAGTAAAAGGCACCACTTTGTTTTACTGTGGGACTATTAAACAGGTGTCAGAGAGCACTCAGCTTCCCTGGTGCCGCATTCACCCACACAGTCTTGGTTTTACTGGTTCTTAAACATTCCTTGTTTGGATGCATGGTGTATTATTCTTGTCTTCCGTCTCTGTCTCTCATGATCTTGACAATTTTGAAGAGTTTGGACAACTGTTTTGTGGAATCCCCTTTAATTTAGACCTGTCTAGTTTTGTCTAATGATTAAATTCCAACTATGCATTTTAGGCAAAAAATAAAAATAAACTGATGTGGCCTCAGCATCAAACCATCAGTTGACATATCTGCCAAGTTTCTTTAGCATAAAGCTACTATTTCTGATTAAGCATCTCATGAAAAAAACACTGGAACATCTTGTGTGGAGGTCAGAGACCAACTTGTAGGAAATCTATTCTCCCAGGCCCAGGGATAGAACTCATCAGGCTTAGCAGCAAGCACCTTTATCCTCTTAACCATCCTGCCAGCCCCAGAACATCTCTTGCTTTCACAGCCTCTCATTGTTTTCCACTGGTCAGTTCTGTAGTTTGCCTAGTGGTCAATCTTCACTCCCATCAAACCCTTTTGTATTAACTTGAAATTCTGTAAGGAAGAATACTCCTATCTGACCAAACATGTATGGATTGAAGGGTACTTGCATTATGGTATGAGCAAAAAACCATTATGTGGTCACAGCTCACATGGCAGGGTCCTAGTTTAGCCCGTCAGGATGGGCACACAAGTGTCTCCAACTTCCATGGCTACTATATGAGCTCTTCCTTTCTGGCAAGTTTCCAATGAGCCAGGCTTTTCTCATTAAAGTATGATACTAAATGTAGGATCTACTGTTTAGTGTCACTGTGTCTGGGGGTGCCCTAAGCAGAGTTGACTGGACTCATTTCATCTTTCAAACATCATTAGATTCCACCATAGGCTTCAGTCTACTCAAGCCTGATTTCTTTGTAGAACAAGTAAAACTGGGCTTTTATTACCCTTAACTTACTTTACTCCATATTAATATCCAAAACCTAATTTCACAGTGCATTCCCTTACAAGAAACAAACTTTGCTGAAGCAAGAAAACTCGTGTTTACTATTATGTCCTTGTAGGATATAGTCCAGATACTACCACCAGCTACTGGGCTCCTGCTTTTGTCCCCCAGCCCCTACAGCATGGTTTTGCTATTCACTTGGAATCAGTGAAGTGCCTTGTGTACTTAGGTCTGCTCTTGCCCCTCCTCCTTCCTATCTGCCCACTCCACCTCCTACCGTCACATCTCATTCACTTCTGGCCAGTTCATCTCAGATTCTGACACAAGTGAGGAAATGTGCTACATGTCTTCAGCTCTTTTCTCCTAAGAATGAGTATTTCTTTTGGTCTCAGCAGTACTGTGGGCTCAGCTCCAGGTGGCTTCAGCTGGACCTAGAAGACTGTTAGATGTGTCAGCAGGGTAAGCTGGCCAGCATGCTTCCCAGCCATTGAACTGCAGGTAGGCCTCTCCACTGGGCAGTTTGGCTTCTTCCTAGCAGAGTCTGGGATCTACAAGAAAGTGCCCCAACAGAAAAGTAGCAGCTGCCCACATTAAAGCTGGATGGTCACTTCTTCCCCGTCCTATCCATCAACTTGCCCAGAGTTCCTGAGATGGGAACACACATAATCAGAAACTACAGATAGACCTGTTTTACAACAGATTTCCTAGCTCAAACGCTCAGCTTCAGCACCCTTGCTTGCATTTTTCATGTTTTTACTTGCTATATCCTGGGAACCAATCAGTTCCTTTAATTTTAGCAGCATGTTCCTTTGTGTCATGGATTCATGAACCAGCCTCTTCATCCTACAGATACCTCAGAGACTAAAATAGTTTCATATTCTTGTGCTTGTTTGTTTTTTATCTGTATTAAGATAGCAGTTATTACTTTATAACCATGTAAAGATCTGTTGCCTTGTTTATGCTGCATATGTTCAACTATGTAGAGATGTGCTGTTGTTTTTCCTTGCCTAAGGTCTAATAAAAAGCTGAATGGGCGATAGCCAGACAGTATCGGGAAAGGTGTGGTTGGTAGAGAGAATAAGTAGGAGGATTCTAGGCTCTTGGGAGAGAGGGAGACTTGAGGGGGCAGCCAGCCAGTCAGCCATAGAGGAAGTAGAACATACAGAATGGAAGGTAAAAAGCCCCAAGGCAAATCATACACGAAAAGAAACAGGTTAAATTCAGTTTTAAGAGCTAGTGGGACACACATAAAATAAAGTCAAACATTCGAAACTAAGAAGTCTCTGTGTCACAATTTGGGGGCTGGAAGTCCAAGAAAGCCTGGCCCCAATGTTGAGTTCTTCTGCCTCAGCTCACAAGTGCTGGGATTAGAGGTACGGGCCACTACACCTGGCTTACTTTGTGATTCTTGAAGTCCTAAGGTAAAAGTTCTGACATTCCAAGTGCTTATACTGGTTTGTTGTTTTTTCAGATCTTTGAAATACCACATGCATGAAGTACTGACAACGATCAAAGGTGTCAAATCTCCTAGAAGTGGAGTCATAAACCAGTGTCCTTAACCTCTGAGCATCCCTGGAGCCTGTCCTGTTTTTAAGGTCACTACAGTTCTGCATCATGAACTGCATTAATTAGTGGCCAAAGCAGTTTTTCAAATCAAAACTATTGGAATTTGCTACATTTCAGATTTCCTATTCAGTAACTGAGCAATAGTAGTTATTTTTTTTAGATGTATGGATGTTTTGACTGCACGAATATCTTTGTACCACTTCTGTGTTTAGTACCTGCAGGGGCTAGATGAGGGGTATCAGACCTAGACTGTGAACCACCTATCTGAGTGCTGGAAATGAAACGTGGGTACTCAGGAAGTGCAGTCAGCGCTCTCAACCACTAAGCCATTTCTCTATCCCCAGGCAGTCTTTTTTTTCTTTAAATATATATAAGCAGGCAGGTGTGGTGGGACAAACCTGTGATCCCAGCAGAGGCAGAATGATTCTAGAGCCCCAGGCTAACCTAAACTACATAGTAATGTCTCGCAAAACATACATACCTAGACTAGAAGCATAAAGGTTTACAGGGCAGGGTAGCTCACAAAATCCCAGCACTCAAGAGGGAGATCTCTTGAGTTCAAGGTTAGCCTGGTGTACATAGAGTTCTGCGATACACAAAGAAACCCTGTCTCAAAGAAAAAAGGAAAGTCTTTTCACTAAAGCCATTTGGAAATATATTTCTGTCATTCTGCCTGAAGGCTGAAACATAGGGAAATTGGCTTTTACAACATAGTTTTAAAATTAGGGAGAAAAAAAACAGCAGTGGGAGGGTGCTTCAGGAGAGATGGTTCAGTTTCCAGCACTCACAAGATTGTAAGTCCAGCTCCAGGGGATCCAATACCCTCTTCTGGCCTCAAAAGGTACTGTATACATATGTTAGTGTACCGTTTAAAATTAAAAATGAAATATGCAGGAGCCAGGTGTAATGCTGCATCCCAGCACTTGGGAGGCAGAGGCAGGCAGATCTCAGAGTTCCAGGTCAGCCAGAGCTACATAAGACTTTCAGAAAAAAGAATGACAATTTGAGACCATCCCACCATTTTTTTCCACATGAAAGGAATATGAGCTATGTCCAGTAATAATTTAAATATAAACAAAAGACTGTTAAAATGTTACTTTTATTTGAACTCACCTGAGTAAGTGTGGGACAATGAAACAAATACAATAGGATATATACAGCATGTCAAGGAGGCAGCCTTTAAGAACATGCTATAGAAAAGAGGAAGACTGGGCAAAGCCTGAATTGACAGAATCTCTGGGTACGGATCAACCCATATGCAAATCCAATAATCTCCAAAGGATTTGGCAAAGATTTATTTTCTTTTCATTTCTAGTCTTTTAAAGTAGACAGATCTGCTTACAATACAGCTGATTTTAAAAGCACACAAAATTTAAGTACAACAGTGGGATTAAATCTAGCAGAGTGATGAAGGTGCTTGCAACAAAACTGACTGCCCAAGGCAGTAATGGCATACAATGAGGCTGGATCCTCATCCTACAAAGCAAGAAGAGGTGGGGACGACTGCACAGTAGGGTTTGTGAGTAACCTTAGCTTCTACTTGCTACTTAATTCACATAGTAAGAGACCTTTACAGATAACCCGCACCCATTTAATTAACCACGTAGCAATTTCTACTATGCAATAGGATTATAAGGCCACAATATTCTTTTGGGACAAACCCTGTAATGATTTTGATATCACTTACTCATTCTTTTGAAGTGTAAAGTGTCTTAAGTAGATTACAATTATAGATCATTTTTAAATACACCATTGCTAGTATATTAAAATTATTTATACTATTTATGTCTAATATTCAAAGAAAATATACTAATAAATGCTACAGTAGGCATCAGTCTGACATGCTTATTAATTGATCCCATAGGTATAATTATAGGTCATGATATTAGAGTCTATTGTCTCACTAAATCAGGAACACTGCATTTACAGAACAAATAAACACATGTAGTGCAGACACCCAAGGATCATGCTAGCTCTTCAGTTATCTGTCACAGTTTAGACATGAATCCTCACTGTGTGAACAAAGTCAGATCCAATTCTTCTGTCAAAAGGTGCTGGTGGAAGTTGTCAGGCGTCTTCCAATGTAGATCCTAGACAGAAAGGGAATGGCAGTCAATCAGGCCTCACAATTCTTAGGTGACTTCACACAGTTCAACAGGGCAGGCTACTATGGTTACAGCTTGTAGAAGGGAAATAGCCTTGATGAAGTATGATTGTCTGTAATCTTTATCAAGTGTTTTAATCAAATATGCATTTCATATTGGCCTCATTTTTCTTAATTTCAATTAAAATTTAATTTTAGTTTTCAGTTATATTCTAATGGCACAAAAGACTGCAAGTTCAAAAAAGAACAAATACAATAGCAGAAACGGAAACTCAATGATACAGCACCTATCTACCATACACAAGTTCCCAGGTTGAAGCCCCACGACTCTCCCATCACAAAAAACAACCCTAAATGCTATCACTATAGAGCTTTGAATTCAACAGAACCATCCACCCACGGCAGAGGTGGCACAAGAGGATGGATATGAGAACTTCTGTGTAAGATAAGGTGGATAAAGAGGCAAGGGCCTTCCACAAGAGATTCTTTACTTCTGGACATCAGTGACTAAGGAATAAGTTTGTGAAAATGCACTAAACTGTAACAATCCCTCTCCCTCCCTCCCTCCCTCCCTCCCTCCCTCTGTCTCTCTCTGTCTCTCTCTGTCTCTCTCTGTCTCTGTCTCTCTCTGTCTCTCTCTGTCTCTGTCTCTCTCTCTCTCTCTCTCTCTCAGTAAACATAAGTATATTGCTGGGGCCTAGAACTGACAAGGTCCACCCTGCTAGTACTCACTTACCCCAATCCAATGGCCAGCAGATGAGACAGCAACAGAGACGGAAGAAAAACCTTCAGAAAGTCTGCTGAGAAAATACCCCCTTTCTTCATAACGCTGGTGTTTCTCATGCTGAGAGTAGTTGTGCGCTTGGGGTGTTTAAACAGGAACTCCCTGGGGTGGAAAGAAACTATCAATCAATGTGTCCTCTTGTCAAGAGAAGAGCCCATGCCATGATACTGAAAACACTTACTTGGGGGGAATATTTTCTGGCCGGCTTGACCAATCCCATATCCAATCTGAGTTTTTCTTCAAGATGCTTTCAACTTCTCTTCTTCTCTCAATATAATCTTCCTCAGACTAAAGTAAATATTAATAAAGCAAGTGAGCGTCCACACCAGAGATAAGGTATGTAAGCTCAACACAGTACCCCAGATTCTTACTCTTGTTGAGGTTTTTTTTTTTTTTTGGTTTTAAGAGACAGGGTTTCTCTGTATTATTTGAGGTTGTCGGTCCAGCCTAGCCTCGAACTCACAAAGATCCGCCTGCCTCTGCCTCCCGAGGAGTGCTGGGATTAAAGGCATGCCGCCATCACCACCCAGCTTGTTGAGGCCTTTTTACAGGCTGTCAGTAGACTGTGTGGCCCCTATTAAAGGCAGATCTTCCCACCTCAAATAGTCTTCCAACCTCATAGTGGGTCTCGCAACTTCAAGTTATTTCATTAAGAAAAAAAATTCCAGCCAGGCTGGTCCGACAGCCTCCAAAACAATAGAGAAACCCTGTCTCGTAAAACCAAAAAAAAAAAAAAAAAAAAAAAGAAAAAGAAAAAAATTCCTCCCATCTATGCCCAATCGTTCTCCACAATCCATCCGTCTTCTGCCACATAGGAGAGTTAAAGGGTGATGTGGTGGGAACCATCCCCTCATCTTTGAAGTCCTTGATGGTAGCACTGATTTCTGCAATTCCTCCAGAATTTTTGATCCACTGTTTTCCCTGGCAGAGGCCACTCAAAAGACTTCCATTTAGCCTCTGCAACCATAACAGCCCTCACTCTACAAGTCAGGACCAATATAAGAACTCTGCCAACTGTAACTCCAGTTCCAAGGCATCCCTCATAAAGACATACACGTACACAAAACACCAATGTATATTAAATAAATACCAATGTATATTAAATAAATAAAACTTTTTAAAACACGGGAGGCAGAGGCAGGCGGATCTCTGGGAGTTCCAGCCTGGTCTATAAGAACTAGTTCCAGGAGAGCCTCCAAAGCCAGAGAAACCCTGCCTCAAAACCCTCTCCCAGCCGGGCGTTGGTAGCGCACACCTTTAATCCCAGCACTTGGGAGGCAGAGGCAGGCAGATCTCTGTGAGTTCGAGGCCAGCCTGGACTACCAAGAGAGTTCCAGGACAGCCTCCAAAGCCACAAAGAAACCTTGTCTCAAAAAACCAAAAAAAAAAAAAAAAAACCCTCTCCCCCCTCCCTCCCCACAAAAAAAGAATTCTGTCAACTTCTAATTATATCTATCCAAGTTAAATATTCTGGGCCTGGGGAAATAACCACAGGATGAGTTCAGGGACCACTGAACCTACTCTGAGTCAGACTTCAGCCAAAAATCCATTAATTGCCTCCATAAAGCCCTACTTTAATGGGCACAATGGTTATTGGGGTCTCCTGGAATCAGCATCAATTCAGATCCAATATCCAACAGACCCTAAAAAGTCGGATCGCTTCCTTTCCCCCAGTGTACAGTTACGTAGTCTTGTCTCACACAAGCCAAGCATGTGTCTGTTCCTCCTTTATGGACATGCCCATTTTGCCCAAGTCCTACTCAATTTGTTAATGTAGAAGCTTTAGGGACTAGAGATGGAGCTGAGTTAGCAAAGGCCTGCCTAGCATATAGAAAGAGTCATGGGTATTCCATTCAACACCACATCAAGAAAGTTCGGTGGCAGATGCCTTTCTATCCCAGCACTTGGGAGGCTAGGGCAGGGGGAAGTTGAAGTGCAGCCTAAGCTACAGAGTAGGAAAGACTCCTACTTCACAATACCAAAAACACTGTTCTAAAGTAATGAGGACTTCTGCAGAAGAAAATGAGAACATTCTAAAATGAGTCAAACAGGTGTACCTAATTAATTTCAGCTATATTTTAAATTATGTAACAGCATACAATACTAATTAATAATTAAGATGGTCTTCAAAATATGAAATTTCTCTTTTCATTCTTAAAATTTTGGGGGCGATCCCAGCCAGCCAGCTAGGTGAGCTTGGGTCTCCGGGGGGACACTCCCCATCCTCTGCCCGACTCCCATCCCCTCGATCTTCCGGGGCCGCTCCTGGCATCCAGAAGAGCCGCCCACACAGGAAAGACATCAGCCCTTCCAGGCCCCAAACTCCAGCGATCCCTGCTTCAGCTTCAGGAAGGAAGGAGACCAGTGGAGAAAGAAAGACCCCAACAGCACCCACTGGAAGAAAAGATGGGAAGAAGACAGAATAAAAGCTCACTCAGCAATAGAAAGACCAACATGACTACACCTGAATCTAGGGAACCAACGCCAGCAAGACCTGAAAAGCACTACATAGATGAAGCAGAGGAGACAGACCTTAAAAATCATTTTGTGAAGATGATAGAGACCCTCAAAGAAGAAACGAGGAAATCCCTTAAAGAAATAGAGGAAAAAACAAACAAACAAAAATCCATGATATGGGGGGGGGGATTCAAGAAATAAACAAATCTCTCAAAGAATCTAAAGAGCACCAAGAAAAAACAACCAAACAAATGAAGGAAACAACTCAAACAGTTGAAGGATTGAAAGCTGAAATAGAAACAATAAAACACAGAATGAGGGGATGCTGGAAATGGAAAAGCTGGGTAAACGACCATGAACTACAGATGCAAGTATCACCAATAGAATACAAGAGATAGAAGAGAGAATCTCAGGTGTTGAAGACTCATTAGAGGATATACAGTCTCCAACCAAAGAAAATCTCAAAACCAATAAATCCCTAACACAAAATATCCAGGAAATATGGGACACCATGAAGAAGCCAATCCTGAGAATAATAGGTGTAGAAGAAGGCGAAGAAATACAGCTCAAAGGTACAGAAAACATATTCAACAAAATCATAGAAGAAAACTTCCCTAACCTAAAGAAGGATATGCCTATGAAAATACAAGAATCTTACAGAACACCAAATAGGCTGGACCAGAAAAAGAAGTCACCTCGTCATATAATAATCAAAACATCAAACCTACAGAATAAAGAGAAAATATTAAGAGCAGCTAAAGAAAAAATGCCAAGTAACATATAAAGGCAGACCAATCCGAATTACACCTGACTTCTCAATGGAAACGATGAAAGCCAGAAGATCCTGGACAGTTGTCCTACAAACACTAAGGGAACAAGAATGCCAGCCCAGACTACTATATCCAGCAAAGCTTTCAATTACCATAGATGGAGAAAACAAAATATTCCATGACGAAGCCAGATTTAAACAATAAGTGTCCAGGAATCCAGCTCTACAGAAAGTGCTAGAAGGAAAACCTAGATCCAAGGAAGATAACTACACTCACAAAGACACAGGCAATATATAATCCCACTTCACATAACACCAAAAGAAAAAAGGAGGAAGAAACTACACAAAATAACTTCACTAACAATAAATCAAGCACAAACAAGAATCATCAATCAATGGTCATTGATATCACTCAATGTCAATGGCCTCAACTTGCCTATAAAAAGACACAGACTAGCAGAATGGATACGAAGACAGAACCCTTCCTTCTGCTGCATACAAGAAACACATCTCAACCTCAAAGACAGACGGTATCTCAGGGTAAAGGGTTGGGAAAAGATTTTCCAATCAAACGGACCCAAGAAACAAGCGGGTGTAGCAATCCTAATATCTAACAAACTAGAATTCAAATTAAAATAAATCAAAAGAGATGAAGAAGGACATTTCATATTCATCAAAGGAAAAAAGTCCATCAAGATGAAGTCTCAATTTTAAACATCTACGCCCCAAATACAAAGGCACCTACATTTGTGAAAGAAACATTACTAAAGCTCAAATTGCACATAAAATCTCACACACTTATAGTAGGAGACTTCAACACTCCACTCTCACGGCTAGACAGGACCTCCAGACAGAAACTTAACAAAGAAATGAAAGAACTAATAGAAGTTATGACCCAACTAGGTTTAACAGACATCTATAGAACATTCCACCCAAACACAAAGAGATATACCTTCTTCTGGGCGCCACATGGAACCTTCTCTAAAATTGACCACATAATAGGAAACATAAAATATCTCCACAGATACAAAAAAATTGGAATAACCCTGTATCTTCTCAGACCACCATGCATTAAAATTAGAATTCAACAATAACACAAATCACAGAAACCCTACAAACCCATGGAAATTGAACAATGCTCAATTGCACCATCCCTGGGTAAAGGAAGAAATAAAAAAAGAAATTAAAGACTTCCTGGAATTCAATGAGAATGAAGACACAACATACGCAAAACTATGGGACACTTTGAAAGCAGTGCTGAGAGGAAAGTTCATAGCACTAAGTGCCCACATGAAGAAACTAGAGAACAGTCATACTAGAGAATTAATCGCACAGCTGAACGTTCTAGAACAAAAAGAAGCAAACTCACCCAGGAGGAGCAGACGCCAGGAAATAATCAAATTGAGGGCTGAAATCAATCAAGTAGAAACCAGGAGAACATTGAGAAGAATCAATGAAACAAAGAGTTGGTTCTTTGAGAAAAATCAACAAAATAGACAAACCTCTGTCCAAACTAACCAAAAGACAGAGAGAGAGAGAACATGCTAATTAACAAAATCAGAAATGAAAAAGAGGACATAACAACGGACTCTGAGGAAATCCAGAGAATCATCAGGGCATACTTTGAAAATCTGTACTCCACAAAATTCGAAAATTTAAAGGAAATGGACAATTTCCTGGTTAGATATCACTTGCCAAAACTAAATCAAGAGCAGATAAACAATCTAAACAGACCTATAACCCTTAATGAAATAGAAGCAGTCATCAAAAGTCTCCCAAACAAAAGAAGCCCAGGCCCAGAATTCTACCAGAAATTTAAAGAAGAGCTAATTCCAATACTCCTCAAAGTATTCCACACAATAGAAGCAGGAGGCTCACTGCCAAACTCTTTTTACGAGGCTACAATTACCTTGATACCCAAGCCGCACAAAGACACAACTAAGAAAGAAAACTATAGACCAATTTCCCTCATGAACATGGATGCAAAAATACTCAATAAAATACTAGCAAACCGGATTCAAGAACACATCAGAAAAATCATCCACCATGATCAAGTAGGCTTCATCCCAGGAATGCAGGGATGGTTCAACATTAGAAAATCTATCAATGTAATCCACCATATAAACAAACTGCGAAATAAAAAAACCACATGATCATCTCACTAGATGCTGAAAAAGCCTTTGACAAAATCCAGCACCCCTTCATGATAAAGGTCCTAGAGAGATCAGGGATAACAGGAACATACCTGAATATAATAAAAGCAATATACAGTAAACCAACAGCTAACATCCAACTAAATGGAGAGAAACTCAAAGCAATTCCTCTAAAATCAGGAACAAGACAAAGCTGTCCACTCTCTCCATATCTCTTCAATATTGTACTTGAAGTCCTAGCTACAGCAATAAGACAACAAAAGGAGATAAAGGGGATACAAATAGGAAAAGAAGAAGTCAAACTTTCACTATTTGCAGATGATATGATAGTTTATATAAGTGACCCGAAAAACTCCGCAAGGGAACTCCTAGAGCTGATAAACCCTTCAGCAAAGTGGCAGGATACAAGGTAAACTCAAAAAATCAGTGGCCCTATTATATACAGACGATGAAGTTACTGAGAAAGAAATCAGAGAAACCTCACCCTTTACAATAGCCATAAACAGCATCAAATATCTGGGGATAATGTTAACCAAGGAAGTGAAAGAGCTGTATATCAAGAACTTCGAGTCTTTAAAGAAAGAAATCAAAGAGGATACCAGAAAATGGAAAGATCTCCCATGCTCTTGGATTGGTAGGATCAACATAATAAAAACGTCAATCTTGCCAAAAGCAGGCTACAGATTCAATGCAATCCCTATCAAAATTCCAGCACAATTCTTCACAGACCTGAAAAGAACATTAATCAACTTTATATGGAAAAACAAAAGGCCTAGGATAGCCAAAACAACCCTATACAATAAAGGAACTTCAGGAGGCATACCTGACTTCAAGCTCTATTATAGAGCTATAGTCCTGAAAACAGCTTGGTATTGACACAAAAATAAGCAGGTAGACCAATGGAACCAAATTGAAAACCCTGATTTTAACCCACACACCTATGAACACTTGATTTTTTTGACAAAGAAGCTAAAACTATACAATGGAAAAAAGAAAGCATCTTCAACAAATGGTGCTGGCATAACTGGGTACTGGTCTGCAGAAGACTGCAGATAGATCCATGTTTATCGCCTTGTACAAAACTTAAGTCCAAATGGATCAAAGATCTCAACATAAATCCAGCCACACTGAAACTTTTAGAAGAGAAAGTGGGAGATACTCTTCAACAAGTTGGTACAGGAGACCACTTCCTGAACATAACTCCAGTGGCACAGACACTGAGATTAACAATTAACAAATGGGACGTCATGAAACTAAAAAGCTTCTGTAAGGCAAAGGACACAGTAAACAAGACAAAAAGGCAGTCCACAGAATGGGAAAAGATATTCACTAAACCCACATTTGACAGAGGGCTAATCTCCAAAATTTACAAAGAACTCAAGAAGCAAGTCTCCAAAACACCAAAGGATCCAATTAAAAGGTGGGGCACAGAACTAAACAGAGAATTCTCAATAGAGGAGGCTAAAATGGCCAAGAGACACTTAAGAAAGTGTTCAACATCCTTAGCCATCAGGGAAATGCAAATCAAAACAACTTTGAGATACCATCTTACTCCTTGTCGAATGGCTAAAATCAAAAACACTGAAGACAATTTATGCTGGAGAGGGGAATACTCATCCATTGCTGGTGGGAGTGCCAACTTGTACAGCCACTTTGGAAAGCAGTATGGAGATTCCTCAGGAAAATGGGAATCGATCTACCATAAGACCCAGCAATTCCACTCTTAGGCATATATCCAAAGGAGGCAAATTCATACAACAAGGGCATCTGCTCCACTATGTTCATAGCAGCATTATTTGTAATAGCCAGAACCTGGAAGCAACCTAAATGCCCCTCAACTGAACAGTGGATAGAGAAAATGTGGTACATTTACACAATGGAGTATTACTCAGCAGATAAAAACAATGGAATCTTGAAATTCGCAGGTGAATGGATAGCACTGGAAGAAACCATCCTGAGTGAGGTAACCCAGTCACAAAAAGACAAACATGGTATGTACTCACTCATATATGGATTTTAGACATGGATCAGGAGAGTGCCAGTCTACACTTCCACTGACAGAGAGTCTGGGAAACAGGAAAGAACCTAAAGGATATGCATGGTACCCAAGAGAAGAGAAATGAGGCAAGATCCTCTGAACAGATGGGGAACACGTCGAGGGGTAGGAAATAGAGAGGGGGAGAAGTGGAACAGAGAGTAGGTCGTGGAGGAACAGGAAGGTTGACTGGGGGGATAGGATGGGGGAAGAGGGAATCATAGGTTAGAAGACAGATCAGGCACCATTGTGACCTCTAGTGATCTAAAGCAAGGACACCAATTGGCAAGCTAAGCAATAGTGTAGAGACCACCTCGAATGCCCATTCCTGATAATGAACTTGATGTCTATAACCATCCTGGAGCCTTCATCCAGCGACTGATGGAAGCAGACGCAAACACCCACAGTTAAACACTGAACAGAACCCAAGGAACCCAGCGACAGAGAGAGAGGAGCGATGAGCAAATTGGCAAAGAATGGGCTGGCAAAACCAGCAGAGACAGCTGATCCAAACAGAGGAGAGCTCTTGGACCCCAGACCGACAGCTGGGAGGCCAGCATGGATGATCCAGACCCCCTGAATGTGAGAGTCAGTGAGGAGGTCTGGGCTACTTATGGGGTCCTGAGCAGTGGATCAGTGTTCATCCCTCAAATACTAACAGACATCGTGTGTCCATAACACAAAGGGTTGCTCTCTCTGCCTGGACTCTTAGGGAAGTGCCTGGACCCTACCCTGAGTGAAATGATAGACTCTAGGTATCCCCTATGAGGAAGGGAGGATGGAGGGGATGGTGGGGGGGTGCGGAAGTAGGAAGGGAGAGGGAACTGGGATTGACAAGCTATTTAAAATTAAAATTAAAAAAAAATTGGATCTGAGTAAAATAATACAAAAAATTAAAAACATGACTTCTCCAAAAGTGGACATGCACTCAAATGTATAGATGGCTGAATGAGTTCCAGAGGCCTTTGGAGTTGAGACTGGATCAGAGATTATTCCCTGGAGAAAGCCTAGGCTAGAGGTAAAGACAGTTGGTTTCTGGTGATGGGACATTGATAAAAATTGGCACAGGAGGAGACAACTATTATAGAAAATGTTATTCATCTTCACCATATTAAGCATCATGCATAAGGTATAGCACTACTAAATAAAAATGAGACATTATTCCACTGCCTCAAACTACTATACAGAAATGGTATAAATAAGAACAGTCAGCTTGCTGGGCAGTGATGGCACACTCCTTTAGTCCCAGCAAAGGCAGGGGGAATCTCTGAGTTCAAGACCAGCCTAGTCTACAGAGTTAGTTCCAGGACAGCCAGGGCTATAGAGAAACCCTTTCTAGAAACAAACAAACAAACAAAATAACTATTAAAAAGGGGGAGTGGTGAGTAGGAAGGCGGCTCAGTAAATAAAATGTTTACTGGGCAAGCATCAGGACCCTCAATTCAGATCCCCAACACTAGTGGACATGGTGGTACATACCTTCAATCACAACACTCAAGAGGCAGAGGCAGAGGCAGTTTGATTTCTTTGAGTTTAAGACCAGCCTTCGTCAATATAGCAAGTTCCAAGAAAGGTAGGGTGAATGGGAAGTTCCTGTCTAAATAAAAATCTAAAATATTGGGTTGAAAATGCTGCTGTTCATGGAGAGATCCTGAATTTGGTTCCCACCACTCATACCAGGCAGCTTATAACTGCCAGTAACCAGCTCCAGAAGATCCCGTGTCCTCTTCTGGACTCCTTGGCCACCTTAATATGTGGCATTCTCTGTACGCACTATGCTGAACTTTATAGCATGCTCCTACCATGGCTTACCAGAGTGCTGTTTTTCTCTCCAAAGCTGTGGCTGTCTGTTTCAGCTCTGTTGATATCTTGTGGTGTCTGGGAGCGAGGTGGGCTTGATTAGGAATTGAACAAAACAGAGCAGCACGTTAATTCTGACATAACAAGCATAAATCCCAAGCAGGGGCTGGGCGTTGGTGGCGCACGCACTCGGGAGGCAGAGACAGGCGGATCTCTGTGAGTTCAAGACCAGCCTGGTCTACAAGAGCTAGTTCCAGGACAGCCTCCAAAGCCACAGAGAAACCCTGTCTCGAAAAACCAAAAAAAAAAAAAAAAAATCCCAAGCAGGGCTATTGCCTCAGTAAGGGAGGTGGTAGAGGACTTGCAGTAGCATGCCTCTCTCTTCCCTTCTGCCTAACACCAGAACAGGGCCAAACAATGAGCACAGAGGAGTCTGCTAGACAGTTCTGAGAGAAGCTCCACCCTCCTGCATGATCTGTTGCACAGCCCTCAGAGCATCTGACCTTCGATCACTGACTCTCAGCATACACCTTAGATTCACTCCCTAGAAGTGCTACCTAGGAACACAAGCCAGCTGGGGGTCATGAACAAAACTACACAGTGTTCACAGTGAGCAGTTTCAAAAAAGGGGCAGAATATATACTAAGGAACTTTTTTAGTTGCCCCCAGGTTTAACATGGTCCCTCCAAACTAAGCCCCAGACCACTTCATCCCAGCAGACTCCAGGGTTCCTTGTATCAGGACTGCTTTCAGAGTTATTCCCAAATGTGGTCTTAGATCTGGAGGCCACCCATAAATGCACAACTGTGATTATCCATCTGCTAGAACATCAGCACTGTAAAAGACATCCAGCAAACATACCTGTCACAGTGCGAACTCTTGGAGCTACTTCGTCCAGATTCATGCTGGGCATCCAGCAGTATTTTTTCCATGTCACCATTATAAATAGAGACGGAGGCTGGAACACTGCTCCCGTTCCCATTGCTAAAGTGCAGTTCTACCCAGGAGCCTGAAGAAAACAAAAAGGGTAGTTAGAATCTACCCACTCAGCCAGGCGGTGGTGGTGGTGCATGCCTTTAATCCTAGCACTTGGGAAGCAAGGCAGACTGATTTCTGTGAGTTCAAAGCTAACCTGGTCTACAAAGCTACTCAAAGAAACCCAGGGAGGGAGGGAGGGAGGGAGGGAGGGAGGGAGGGAGGGAGGGAGGGAGGGAGGGAGGGAGGGAGGGAGGGAGGGAGGGAGGGAGGAAGGAAGGAAGGGAGGAAGGAAGGAAGGAAGGAAGGAAGGAAGGAAGGAAAGGGAAGGAAAGCCTATCCACTCATAGGGCTTGATGACGCATACCTTTATTCCCAGTACTCTGAGTTAAAGACCAGCCAGGACCTTGTTAACAAAACTAGATAGCTAGCTAGACAGACAGACAGACAGACATGGACAGACGCACAGATAGAAAGATCTGCCCACTCACATTCTCATGAAATACCAAAGGTGGCACATGATAAGCCATCACTCTGGGCCTTACTTTAATGCCACTTTAGACACTTGCATTTCTGGTCTGCTGGACTCTCTTTAGGTTCCTGAGGCTGAGACTGCACTGTATCTCTTGCCATTCCTTTATTCCATGCAGGTATTCTACAAATCTGTTGCTCTACAGAGGCCAAGATGGTCATCTTGTTTAGGCTGGTGAAGAACTGGAGGTCTGGCCCCTGCCTCTGCCTTCTGTGAACTAGGTTTATAGCCATGGGTCAACAGGTCTCACTGAAGACCTAAACTACTTCCACATTCCAGGATCATACAGCCCTGAAGCTCTAAAGTTCACATTTATAACTATTGCTCGGTATTTATCAGAAACCAAATTAGCAAGTTTTGAAATAGAATAGTTAATTTTCTGGTTATATTTCACTCACTAGAGCAATCTACCTTTCAAGTATTCACAAATCTTTACATTTGTAAAGAAGTACAGTGTACACACATTAAAAATGGAAGTCCAAGAGTACAGTTTGATTCCCCAATACCACAAAAATAATTGTACTGCTATATCAGTAGCTTGATTCCAGTTTGGTCTGCTGAATGCATCTATAAGGCTAGTGCTGTGTAGCTCAGTGGCAGTGTTCTTGCCTTGAAATCATTAGGCTCTGGGTATCAATCCCCATTACTGCCAAATGTTTGTGAGTGTACATGTGTATATTTTTCAGCAGAACATAGTGGTACATGCTTATAATCCCAATATTCAGGAGGCTGAGGCAGAAGGACTGCCAAGCTTGAGGTCAGTTTGTGCTACAAAGCCTATTCTTAGAGAGACAAGATAGATGAGGGAGAGAGACAGAGACAGAGACAGAGAGAGAGAGAGAGAGAGAGAGAGAGAGAGAGAGAGAGAGAGAGAGAGAGAGAGATTTGGGTGGCACGCACCTTTTGTCCCAGGGCTTGGGGTCAACCTAGTCTACAAAGAGTTCCAGGGCAGCCAGGACTGTTATATAGAGAAACCCTGTCTCAAAAAACTAATAGACAGATAGATACAGCCCCTGGAATTATCTTTATAGTCATTTCTACTATGTATCTATGAATGGGATTAGTGGGTAAAATGCAGGTGTTTTAAATGTTAATGCTAACAAACTGCTTCCTGACACAGTTGAGCCAGCATGCAGCCCAACAGGAGTTTGTACTACTTCACACTGTGCCAACACTCCATTACTGGTCTGACTTTTACTCTTCTGGATTTGAATGCCATGTTCTGGATCAGCAGCATCTTTTACTGCAGACTGTCTCTGCTTCCCATCCTGTGGCACTTGCTGGCTTTCTATTTATTCAGTGTTTGTATGTAGATGTGTGGGTACCTGTGCACAGTATACATATGGAGGTCAGAAGACAACATGCAATAGTTGGGTTCTCTCATCATTTGGTTCCTGGAGATTGAACTCAGTCTTGACAGCAAGCCCCTTCCATTTCACTGGCCCTTGGTACTTTGAGTATTTGTTTAAGTATAGGGTCTCATTCTAGGCCCAGGATTATTTCTCTATTTTGATTCATAGGTCCATTTGTTTATAGAAAATCCTTTGTTGAGCCATGCATTGGTGGTGCACGCCTTTAATCCCAGCACTTGGGAGGCAGAGGCAAGCTGATCTCTGTGAGTTCAAGGCCAGCCTGGTCTACCAAGCAAGTTCCAGGACAGGCTCCAAAATAATACAGAGAAACCCTGTCTCGGAAAAAAGAAAAATCCTTTGTCAAACTATTAAAATGGCTTAGTGGGTAAAGGAACACATTTGTTCACATGCGCTCATGCACTCTCTCTCTCTCATACACACACACACACACACACACACACACACACACACACACACAAAGGCAATAAAAGAAAAATCCTTTAACAGACAAGGGGTAGGCTGGGCATGGCAGTCCATGACTAATTCCAACACTTGGGAGGCTAGCCTGGTCTACACATCAAGTTCAAGGACAGTCAGGACTACACAGAATTCCTTTCTTAGAAAAATTTTGGCCAGGCAATGATAGGGCACACCTTTAATCCCAGCACTCAGATAGCAAAGTCAGGTGGATCTGAGTCACACACCTCCAAAAAGAAAAAGGAACTATGCATGGTGGCACATACCTATAACCCAATAGAGATAGGAGGATTTAAGCTACCAGTTTAAAGAAATTTGTGCCCTGTGCTACATGTGACACAAGAAAATCCTCTTAAAAAGCCAGGCATGATGGGGCATACCTGCAATCCCAGAACTCAGGAGAAAGAAACAAAACTGTTGCAGTTCTGTTACATAGAGCCAGTACCAGGCCAGCTAAAGGTACACAGTGAGTCTCCAAAGCAGACCACACATGCATGATCTCTGGGAACAAGAACACTATACAGCTTCCAAAACTCCCAAAAGAAGTATTTTAACACTCATCAGAAACTCTTGACCCTTCGGGTGGTGGTAGTGCACACCTTTTTTTAAACAAATATTTTATTTATTTATTATGTATACAATCTTCTGTCTGTATGCCAGCGGCGGGCACCAGATCTCATTCAAGGTGGTTGTGACCCACCATGTGGTTGCTGGGAATTGAACCCCGGAACTCTGGAAGAACAGTCAGTGTTCTTAACCACTGAGCCATCTCTCCAGCCCAGTGCACACCTTTAATCCCAGCACTTGGGAGGCAGAGGCAGGCAGATCTCTGAGTTTGGACTAGCCTGGTCTACAAGAGTTAGACATCTCATTAGCATATTAGGGGACTTCTTACAAAATAGACCTGAGTAACAGGATCAAACTCTTCCTGGCTAAGAGATTTGTTTCAGCCGGGCGGTGGTGGTGCACACCTTTATTCCCAGCACTTGGGAGGCAGAGGCAGGGATCTCTGTGAGTTTGAGACCAACCTGGTCTACAAGAGCTAGTTCTAGGACAGTCTCTAAAGCCACAGAGAAATCCTGTCTCGAAAAATAATAATAATAAAAAAAGATTTGTGTTCATGTCCCTGTGAGTCCTAGCACTTGGGAGTACCAGGAGTTCAGGCCATCTATAAAGTATAAGACTATGGTATAGCCGGGCATTGGTGGCGCACACCTTTAATCCCAGCACTCGGGAGGCAGAAGCAGGCAGATCTCTGTGAGTTCGAGGCCAGCCTGGTCTACTGAGCAAATTCCAGGACAGCCTCCAAGACAATACAGAGAAACCCTGTCTCGAAAAACCAAAAAAAAAAAAAAAAAAAAAAAAAAGACTATGGTATATAAAGACCTATCTCAAAAAAAAAATAAAAATAAAAACAAAGAGCAGACACTCAGGAAATGGCCCCAAGTTTAGTAGCTTGTGTCAGGAGCCAACAGCCAGAAGTGTGTGTATTTACTGCACAATGCAGGGAGCCACTGTCCTGATCTATACTGCTGTAACAGTAAGCCACAGCTTGGTGATTATGATTATAAAGTTATTTCTCACAGTTGTGGAAGCTAGCAAGCCCAAGCTCCAGTCTATGCTGTCTGTGAGGAAGCCAGTTTCCCTCATCAGCCCCTTCACCTGGGCTCATCACAGTACCCTCGAACACTGAACTGTAGGAGACAGATTCATGTCATAGCTGTGCTTTCAAAAATCAAGAGGCCCAGCACCTTTGAGGGGGTGAAAAAAATCCCATCCAGAATGATCTGCTGGGTCCAACAGCTCCATCTCCAGGAATGATTTACTAGGGACCTAGTTTTATCATTAACCTGTGACTAGATAGGAAGTGTAAATCCTGGAAACCAGAGAAGACACTACTTATTTACATACACCCGGCAGTTACTCAACAGGATCTTCCACCTTTTAAACAAGGAAGGTGGGGGAGTACACCTACAATTCTCTACAATTCTAAAAGAAGAACACCTAGAAGCTGAAGGCAAGTTTAAGGCCATCCTAGGCTACATGAATGAGCAAGACCTTGTCTCAAATGAATAAAATTTAAAAGAGCACAGCATTGCTTCTCAACAACGAAAAATTTCCTCAATCAGCACACAACTTATTTTATCAGAAAGACAGCAGTTCTGCTGGCACCAAAGACCTGATTTCTGTTTTCCACCCCTCTCTCCCACTTCTGAGCTACACCAACAAGTCACAAGGCAAGTATAACTTAATCTCCCTGAGTCTAGAGCCACTGGGAACTGAACTCAGGTTCCCTAAGAAGCAGATTATGCTCTTATTTTATGCATAAGAGTGTTCTGCCTGGCCGGGCATTGGTGGTGCACGCCTTTAATCCCAGCACTCGGGAGGCAGAGACAGGCGGATCTCTGTAATTTCGAGACCAGCCTGGACACCAAGAGAGTTCCAGGACAGCCTCCAAAGCCACAGAGAAACCCTGTCTCAAAAAACCAAAAAAAAAAAAAGTGTTCTGCCTGCATGTATGTTTGTGCATCATGTATGTGACTGGTGTTCAGTGAAGCCAGAAAAGTGTATCAGATCCCCCCGGAACTCAAGTTACAGGTGGCTGTGAACAAGTGCGTGATCTTAACTGCTGAGCCATCTTGCTAATCCCTCATTTGGTTTGGAGACAGAATCTTACTATATAAACCAGGTTGGTCACTGTGCTAGTTTTAATTTATCAACTTAACACAACTTAGAAACAACTGAGAAGACAGGTCTCTGTGAAGTATTTGAACTTGAAGGAATTGGTTCTTTCCTTCTACCATGTGGGCTTCAGGTTTCTAGGGACCAAACTCAGATCAACAGGCTTGGGAGCAAGCACCTACCTTCTGAGCTATCTTGCCAACCCTACAGGAAACAAGTCTTCCTGAGTAATTATTTAGATCAGGTTGGTCTATGGGTTTATCCATGGAGCACTGTCTTGATTGTTGATTGGTATAGGAAGATTCAGCCCCTAGTCAAGGGGTCCTGAACAGTTTAAAAGTTAGAGAAAGCTAAATAGAAAACCAGTAAATGAGCAATATGGGCACACTCTTCCTCTCTCTGCTCTTGACTGTGGATATGATGTAACTAGCTTCATTGAGTTCTTCCCTCAACTTCCTCAACAATGGAATGTAAGCCAAATTAACCCTTCCTCCCCTAAATTGTTTTTGGCCAGAAGTGAAACTAGGTCAGTCATCCAAGTCAGGCTCCTTGAGTGTATGTAGTTCAGCTGATTAAGAGTACTTGAAGAGCATGCTTACTGCAGCTGGCAATTTATGGCACCACATAAATGGCAATCCTAGAGCTCAAGATGTTGAAAAGGATAAAAGTCTAAGAACCTATGTTCAAGGCCAGGCTGGGACACATCTCAAAAAAAATTTTAAATTAAAAAAACTATCTCTACCTTAGTGGGTTACTGGAGTACTGCTTATGTAAGTACAATCCCTGGAGTACTACCCTCTATATCCCAAGGCAAACTTGTGGACTATCAATGCCTAACAATAACTACAGCCAACAGAACCCCATATGGAGGAAACACAGCAAAGTCCCTGTTCTCAAAGCCACCCTACTTCCTAGGAGTGGTAGGACTCAATCATGGCTATTGAAGAAGAACCACCTTTGTGATTTTTTTCCATGGTTTTCCAGAAGCTGAACCCAATTTGAAAACAGTTAGAGGTTCAAGCAAATATGCTGACCAGCTCAAACAGGGACAGCATCCAGCCAGAGCTAAAGGTCCTCAGAGAGGAGTAGGCAAGGCACACAATCTCAAAACAGAAATGTAGTGCCAGAGCAGAATGATGCAAATACTATAGCATTCAAAGAAAGTCAAGCAAGGGAGCTTGTCTGAGGGAAGCAGTAGTGCTCCCAAATCACACAGGGCTTCTCCAGAAGCAGCTTTTGCTGTCTCAACTCTTATAGGAGGGGAACAAAAGACTTGGCTGGCAAATAACTCTGAACATACTCTGCCTGGTAGACAATCCAGGCTACCGACTTCCTTCTCCCTCTCCTCTCTCTCTCCCTCTCCTCTTCCTCTCTTCCTCTCTCTCTCCCTCTCCTCTTCCTCTCTTCCTCTCTCTCTCTCTCTCTCTCTCTCTCTCTCTCTCTCTCTCTCTCCCTCTCCCTCTCCCTCTCCCTCTCCCTCTCCCTCTCCCTCTCCCTCTCCCTCTCCCTCTCCCTCTCCCTCTCCCTCTCCCTCTCCCTCTCCCTCTCCCTCTCCCTCTCCCTCTCCCTCTCTCTCTCTGGTACTGAACAGTCTGTGGCATGTCCTTAACTCAGGTAGTCATCCTTATTTCCACTTCCACTTTACCTTTGGGTTTTACTGCAATTTTCAGAGGTTCAGCTAGAGCCTAGAAGAAACCCCTTCAGTCTAACAATATTTTTCTCTTCATGCAAGCCTGCCCCTGAGTTTGCCTGCAACCACAGAATCATTTATTAGACAGGGGCAGCTGAGTGAAGATTTTACTGAGTCTATATAGTGGGTCTTTCAGGCAATAAATAATACCACATAGAAGTATCACAAAGCTTATCTCCCCTCCTGCATGCCAAAAATCATATGAATAAGAAATAGCCAGTCATGCTTCTAAACATCTTTCAGTAAGATGGACCAGAGGTAAAGAGGGAACAGAACCAATCAGCTTTATGGGTTACACCTTCAGGAAAACTGGTCCCAGAGGTTGCTAAGGGGAATATTTGCTGTCCCACCTACCAACAAGGCTTCCACAGCACTCAGCCTCAGAAGTAAACAAGAAGCTGAGCAGAACAGGCAGGCAGAGGAGCTCAGACTCCAAGCTGGGATTCACATTTCATAGGGCAGCTGAGATATCCCATGTGACTCAAGTGACCCCTCCTACCCTGGGCTGGACGGTGAGCCAGTGCCGGGCTGCACGTACACCCCAAACAATGGCCCAAATCCTTAGCGTGAGTTTCCACACGGTAACCATCTTTTTATAGAGTAAGCAAAGCAGAAAAACAAAAATCATCTTAACCCTTGAAATGACAAATGACAACTTCACTTTACCAATGACTCAGCAGTCTAAAGTGTATGTCAAGGAATTAGGTGGTAATTGAGACCTCTTAGGAGTACCCAGAAACTTCCAGAGATGAAATCTAAGTAACAGTGTTAGATATAAAATCTCAGTAACTACAAAAGTGATTTTACAGAAAACATTATAAAACATCCTTGATCTTATTTTAAGAGAAAAGACAATAAAGCTTCTAGTCTATCAAAGGAGAAACTACAACCTTTGCCGTTAAGGAGTAAAACCTGAATTACAAGATTTTTTTTCTAACATGGCTATAGTTTTAAAATACAGATTCTGTGATGTATTAGGCTGATTAAATTGTGCCTACTAAAATCTTGTTTGGAGTAATAAATAAATGCAGCTCACTAAATCTTAATACAAGCTTTTTAAAAATTCTTAACAGCCCAGCACAGTGTTGTATGATTTTGATTCCAGCACTCCAGGAGATCACCAGGTAAATCTCTGAGTTCAAGGACTGCTATCTATACAAGTTTTAGGAAAGCCAGAGTTACACAGAAAAACCAAGTCTCAAAAATCCAAAATCCAAATCTTCCCACTAAATTGGGTGCGGTAGCACCTGCCTTTGATCCCAGCACTAGGAAGGCAGAGGCAGGCAGAGTTCTGGGAGTTTAGAAACAGTGAGGCCCTATAAAACACTCACTATAAAGGCTCAGATGGCCCTCCTATGTTTATTTACAAGCTCATTTTACTGAGTGAACTCTTGCTTCAGAGAATACAAAGTCAAAAGGATCCTCCTCCAGTTCTTGGGCCTTTATGATTAAGGCTGAGCTCTCAACCCAGACCCACCAGGTGGCCCTCAGGTGGCACAAACAATTCAGGATGGCCTTGCAAAACCGCAGCTGTCTGCTCGGTGCTAATAGTCTGTAAAGGCTGCATGCTTACAATGAAGTTACTGGGCTGAATTATAAGCACTTCACCCCATTCTGTAGCTCTCTTCCACACAATCTGCACCCCCCAGCCCTATCTCCTCATTCCTTTCTCTCTTTTGGAGCCCTCAGGGCTTCCCTGTGTCGCCCTGGCTAGCCTGCAACTCACTCTGTAGACCAAGCTGGCCTCGAACTCACAGAGATCCACTTGCCTCTGCCTCCCGAGTGCTAGAATTAAACGCTTGCGCCACCAACGCCCGGCTCCAACACTTCTTAAAGAGGCCAAGTCCTGGCGGCGAACACTCTTCATCCCATCACTGGGGAGGCAGAGGCAGGCGGATCTCTGAGTTTGAGGCCAGCCTGACCTACAGAACGAGTGTCAGGATAGGCTCCAAAGCCACAGAAACCCCTAAAGCCTGTCTCCAAAAAACAAAAACAAAACAGGAAAACAATCCTTTAACTCTGAGAAAGAGATGACAGTGGTCTGAAGCCTTAGATCTCTTCCACTAGGAAGAGATGACAAAGCAAGTCAGGGGTAGATGGGGGGGGGGGAGGAACCTGTTAATTCCAGCTACTCCAGAGGCTGAGGCAGGATGATCCCAAGTTCAAAAGCCAAATGTAAATGGTAGCAGTGTTGTTCAGAGGTTGAGCACTTGGCCTTGCACGTTCAAACCTGGTTCCATAGCCAGCACCAAGTGGGAAAAGTGAGAGGCACCATGGTCATAAGCACTAATGACTTCAATCAAAACACTGAATATTCAACCTGCTCCCCCTGGCTCACTTCAGCAAGGTTGAACCAGGCGTGGGGGCCGCGGAAGGCCTGTGATGTAAGCTACTCAGGAAGCTGAGGAAGAAGGATCTCGGGGAGTTCGAGGCTTGCCTGACCTAAAGAGACTGTGAAGACACAGAACTATGACAGTGTGAACAACAGACCACGGAAGATTCAGCCCGGCCTGACTGTATAGAGACTGTCTGTAAGATGCACCCAGGCTCACCGCCCAACCCGGCTGCACCTCGCAGCATCGCGGCCTCCACGCACGGCACCCCGGCCCGCGACCCTGCCGCCCCCGCGACCCCTCTCAGCCCACAGCCTTACCCTGCAGGTTCTCCTCCCCGCTCTGCGACATGGTGGCTCGACAAAAGGGCCCGAGCCCAGCTGCGGCAGGCCTCAGCGGCGGTCACCGAAAGATACGAGAACCGCCCGCTGCCTGCTCTGCTCTGAGGCCAGGCGACGCGGGGCTGAGGGACAAGGGGCGGGGCGGGGCGGGACGCACGCGGCGGCGGCGTCCATTGGACGGGAGGCGGGGCCTACAGGTGGAGGAGGAACGCGGGGCGCGTGCGGCACGTGCGGCGCGTGCGCAGGGCGGAGCCTTGGCGAGGAGGGGGCGGGGCACGAAGCGGGAGGGCGGCTGTTTTTAAGCTCTTGAGCAAGGGGCTGGGGGCGGGGCCTGAGGCTAGAGCCACTGGGAAGAGGACCTGCCAAGAGAGGGGAGAAACTTGGGGCACTGGGGCTCCGAAGTGCGTGAGTTGCGGAGGCTCTAGGGGAGGGGCCTAAAACCAGGCTAAAGTGGTCATGGCAGGGCCGGGCCCTGAAGTAGGCGTGACGTGGAGGACCTGACGCCAGACTCCGCTGTGGCTAGCGTGGGGTGGGGACCTGCCCCTCCTGCCCGCGGTTGATCCCCTCTATCCCCCTAGCTTCCGAAACTGCGGGCGCCAGCGACGGGAGCGCGCGGTGGTCTCGCTGTCTCTGTGAACACTTCCAGATAGGATTTTTGGCTGAATTTTTAAGAAAAAAACCAATCCTGGAGTGGTTGTGCAAGCCTGTTGCCCAAGCCCTGGTTCAAGGCCATTACTGGGCTGCACAGTGTGAGACTGTCTAAAACAAAGCAGAGCAAAACAAACAAGCAAAATTTGCCAGCATTCTGCCGCAGTAACAATGGTGAGTTGGGGGATGCCATGGCAGGCTGCAGGCAGAGAAGAAGATCAGGGCATTTTGGAACAATTGGAGAGGCCCTTGGAGGGACAGTGTTGAGAAGGATTCTGCATTGTGCTTGTACCCTACCCAATCACTCCTCTGTTCTTGGAGACTGGAATTCCTCTTGGGATAGTTCTGGGATACAGAAGCGGGCGTGAACCTTAAAAGAAACTGTCTTTGCAGCAATGGGTCAGGTGACAAGAAGCTACTTCATTTGGTGTTTGTTTTCTTTTTTCTTTTCCAGACAGGGTGTCAAAAAGTAGGCTGGCCTGATCCTACTGTTTCCACCTCCCAAATTCTGGGATTACAACTATGCAGCTCTGATTTCTGTTGTGTTCTGTTCTGTTGGGAGTGCTGAGATTATTATATCCAGCGCCTTGTACATACATGCTACACAAGTTCACTGCCACTGAGCTATGTCACCAGACCTTGTTTGATGTTTTTTAGACAGATTCACTGTGTAACCTAGGCTAGTCTTGAACTTTCCTGCCCCATCCTCCCAGGTCTTGGTTATAGACAGCTCCACCACTCTCAACCAAAAATTATCTTTCTTACAGTGCTTAGGGCCTTGCAGGTACTAAGCACGTTCTCTGCTGCTGAGCTACAGCACCAAACCTCTGTCTCAACCTCGAAAGTGCTGGAATTACAGGCATTCTACTACACCAGGCAAGAAAGAAACAAGAGTCGTGGTTGATAGACTCCATGTCTTGCATGCCCATGGTCCTGGCAAAGGGAAAAAAAAGAAATGGCCTGGAAATTCTCTAAAACAGTATACTAAAAAAAAAGAAATAGGAAAATGTGAATTTGAAAGGGTTAGGAATGTTATAAGTAGACATACTTTTTATATCCTACTAATTAATAGTTAGTTGATTAAGACAGGATCTTTCTATGTAGCTCTGGCTGTCCTGAGACTCACTACATAAACCATGCTGACCTCGAACTCACAGAGATCCACCTGCCTCTGCCTCCTGAGTGCTGTAGATATTTGTTTTCAAGGGAAAAAGTTTCCCACTTTTTTAGACCCTTCAGTAAAAATCGTCAAAGGAGCCACTTGTTTGTAGTGGAGCACGCCTTTAATTCCAGCACTCTAGAGGTAGAGTCAGGTGCATCTCTGTAAATTAGAGGCCAACTTGGTCTACATAGTGAGTTACATGGTGAAGCCCTGTCAAATGAAAGGAAATCTGTCTGGGAAAATTTTACACTTCCTGAGTGAAGTTCCCAACTTAACCCTTGTCTTAGTTAGGTTTTCTGTTGCTGTGAAGAGACATCATGACCACAGCAACTCTAATAAAGGAAAAATATTTAATTGGGATGGCTTACAGTTTCAGAGGTTTGGTCCATTATCATGGTTGGCAAGGTGGTGTGCAGGCAGACATGGTACTGAAGAAGTAGCTGAGAGTATTACATATTGACTCGAAGGTAACAGAAAATGATCTGAGACAGTGGACATGGATTAAGTATATATGAGACCCCAAAGCCTACCTCCACAGTGACATACTTACTCTAACAAGACTATACCTACTCCAGCAAGGCCATGCTCCAAATAGTGCCACTCTCTTGGAGGCAATTTTCTATCAAACCCCACACCCCCATACCCATGGAAAGTCTCAATGAATCCCTCCCTCAATTTCCACAAGACCCCAGACATCAAAAAAAAAAAAAGACCCTCAGACACATTCACCTTCATTCATTACTAAACAAATAATGCCAGTAGTGTAGCTCAGAAACCTGGCACATTTATTAACAATTTCTAGCCAGCTGTGTTATACTTGTAATTCCAGCACTTGGGATGTGGACCAGAAGGAGCAGGAGTTCCAGGCTTTGCTGACATATTTCAAGGCCAGCCTGGTCTACATGAGATGTTGTCTCAATAAATAAACAAACTAACAACTAAATAGCATAAATAAGACAAGGGCCTTGGAGATGGTTTGGCAGGTAAAGGACCTTGCCACTAAGTCTGACAACCCAAATTGAATCCCCAGAATTCACATGGTGAAAGGAAAAGAATTCACTCCCATGAGTTATCCTCTGACCTTCACTTATACCAAGGACATGCACATATTAATAAATAATAAATGCAAAAATATTTTAAATAAAAGAACTCAGAAAATTTTAAGTTCTCTATTTTATTCATTTATTAAGATAGGCGTGTTGGGCAGTGGTGACACATGCCTTTAATCCCAGTACTCAGGGGAGAGAGGCAAGTGGATCTCTGTGAGTTCAAGGCAAACCTGGTCTATAGAGTGAGTTCCAGGATGACCAGAGAAACTCAATCTCAAAAAAGAAGAGAAAGGGCCAAGGGGGGGAGAGAGGGATGGGAGAGAGAGGGGGGAGGGGATCTCACTATATAACCTTGGCCATTCTTGAAATCACTATGTACACAAAGATAGATCTTCCTGCTTCTGACTCCTTAGTGCTGAGATTAAAAGCATGGTTTGCCACACTGGGCTAGTAATTTATTATTTTTTAAAAATTAGCTGGGCAGCTGGGTGTTGGTGGCGCACGCCTTTAATCCCAGCACTCGGGAGGCAGAGGCAGGCGGATCTCTGTGAGTTCGAGCCCAGCCTGGTCTACAGAGCGAGTTCCAGGACAGCCTCCAAAGCCACAGAGAAACCCTGTCTCGAAAAACCCCCCCCAAAAAAATTCCTGGGCGGTGGTGGTGCATGCCTTTGATCCCAGAGTTTGGGAGACAGAGGCAGGGGCATTTCTGTGAGTTCAAGGCCAGCCTGGTCTACAGAACTACACAGAGAAACCCCGTCTCAAAAAATAAATTATATTTAACTGGATGTGGCAGCTCACACCTATAATCTTAGCATTCTAGAAGACAAAATGGGATCATAAGCTTATTAAAATTATTTAGTTACTTATACGTGAGTGGGAATGCTCATGCCATGTTCATTTATCGAGGTCAGAGGACAACTTAAAGAAGTTGGTTCTGTCATTCCACATTGTGTGTCCCTGCTGACAGGCACTTTTACCCAATGAGCCAGCTCTACTGCCTGAGCCTTATAGTAAGTTCAAGTATAGGACAGTGTCGTAATTAGAGTTTTCTATTGCTGTGAAAAGACACTGTGACCAAGGCAACTCTTTTTTGTTGTCGTTGTTTGTTTGTTTTTTGTTTTTCAAGACAGACAGGGTTTCTCTGTGGCTTTGGAAGCTGTCCTGGAACTTGCTCTGTAGACCAGGCTGGCCTCAAACTCACAGAGATCCTCCTGCCTCTGCCTCCCGAGTGCTGGGATTAAAGGCGTGCGCCACCAACGCCCAGCCCAAGGCAACTCTTACATGGAAAACATTTCATTGAGGGAGCTCGCTTACTGTTTCAGAGGTTCAGTTCATTACATCATGGCAGGGAGCAGGCCAGCATGCAGGAAGATGTACTACTGGATGAATATGATTGAGACATTGGGTGGTAACCTAAGCATAGGAAGCCTCAAAGCCCACCCTCACAGTGACACACTTTCTCCAACAAGGCCATACCTACTCTAACAAAGCCCCAACTCCTAATAGTGCCATTCCCTATGAGATTATGGAGGCCAGTTATATTCAAACTATTTCACTCCTTGTCTCCTATAAGCTTGTTACAATATCATAATGCAAAATGCATTTAGTCCAACTTCAAAAATCTCCATAGTCTATCACAGTCTCAACAATGATTTAAAGTCCAAAGCTCAAAGTTTCTTATAAGATTCATGCAACTGTAGTCACCTGGAAAATCAAAATTAAAAAAGCAGATCACATACTTCCAACATATAATGGCAAAGGATATATATTACCATCTCAAAACGTAGGGAAGGGAGTATAGTGAGGAAATACTGGACCAAAGCAAGACTGAAAACCAGCTGGGGAAGCTCCAAACTCTGCATCTCTATATCTCCATATGCTCTTCAGATCTCCAATTCCATTCAGCTTTGTTGCCTGAACCACACTGCTTTCTCTTGGGCTGGTTCCACTCCCTGTTAGCAGCTGTCCTCAGCAAGTATCCCATAACTCTGGCATCTCTAACATCTTGAGTTCTCCAAGGCAATCTAGGCTTCAATTTCACAGCTTCATGAAATAGACTCTCTACTAGGACTCCATTCAGGGATACCAACAGCTTTCTTTAGGCTCAGAGGCAAATTCCATAACCTATTCTTCTATCTTTAACTCAAAAGCCAGAACCATGTGACCAAAACTGCCAAGTTCTGCTGCTTACTGGGGCTGAAACATGGCCCCCTCATTCAATTGCATCTTCACCAGATTTCTGTCTTTAATTGCCTAAGCTTGGCTGTCCTGAAACTGG